AGTAGTAGTAATGTAGTAGTAGTAATGTAGTAGTAGTAGTAGTAGTAGTAGTAGTAGTCGTAGTAGTAGTAGTAGTAGTAGTAGTAGTAGTGGTAGTAGTAGTAGTAGTAGTAGTCGTAGTAGCAGCAGCAGTAGTAGTAGTAGTAGCAGCAGCAGTCGCAGTGGTGGTGGTGGTGGTGGTGGTGGTGGTGGTGGTGGTCGTGCTGGTGGTGGTGGTAGTGGTGGTGGTGGTGGTGCTGGTGGTCATGACACTGGCAATGCACATAGGTAACTACGGACATACATACCTTAATTAAATCACACACATCATAAACAAACAGGCATGAAAGCATACATATATATATATAATGCACATACATATAAAAACCGATTTGTATGTATGTATGTATGTATGTAGGTAGGTATACAAAAAATGCACTCTTATGCCTATACACACACACGCACGTGTGCACCCGCCCACGCGCACATACGGCCACATATTTGGTTCATCCTCTTAAGTTTATGAGGGCCTATTAACGTTCGAGCTTTCAAAAGTGCAAGGCTGGGTCCTACAATGATCAAAAGATGCAGCCATTCGAAACGCAGCTTTTTGCACCGGCATCAAGGTTGGTGCCGGCCAGCAGCAACGCATCCACCTGCCGGCAGGGCTGAAGAGAGAGAGATTGTTTGATGCATATGTGCAAAGCTTGGCAATCTGAGGCTGTAATCTTTTTGGCACGGATCGCCCCGCAAACGACAGGGACGTCGCCCCTACGACCGCTGACCTTTATCTTGCTTCTGTAGTAGAGTGAGGTATGGCTATGCATGAGGGTTGAGCTGATGCATGATCGAAGGTCGACGGTCGCTAAACCCTCCGCTCACACACAGCTCACATCCACCTGGGCTTAGAGGGTGTTGGGTGTAGGATTTAGGGTTTAGAGACTCGGCTGTTGTGGGTTTAGGATTTAGGATTAAGAGTTTAGCTTCAAATTAAAAACCCCTCCACCGGGCCACGTTGTGATCATCGTGAGGAATTGCCGGTAAGAAATGGCCTTGCCCACAGCATCTGCAGAAGGCTTGAAGTCGTTCGTGACCCACCAGGCGCCCTTTTTGGACCTTTGTATCGGCCAATAATTACAATATTTATACCTTGGAAATTGAAGTACTCTGGTGTCACAGTGTATATCGTAGAAACATCCAACTAAATACAAAGAACAGGCTCGGTTAAATTGCGAGGGGCAGTTGGGCTCTCTCAGATCGAATGACCCAGCGGCGAAATCCAATAATTAGTATGTGATTCCAGAGCAGCCAGAACCTTGAGCATAGCAGCCTGTTGAGGCAATGAATCATCGAAGCCGACCTGTCGTTCAGATTTCATTGCTGGAGCCAGCTGGAGCAATGGTTGCAAGAGTCGGCCACGTCGGACGCATTCGTCAAGCCAGCTGGGCCCGCCAACATAACTCCCGAGCAGTCTGCTCAAGAAAGCGCCCACATCCAAACAGCTGTGGCTCTCCGAAGCATGGTATATGAGCCCCTCTTCTGCTTCTTTCGACGTCGCCACGAATATGACAAACTTGGCTTCCAGGCATCTGGCGATCAACTTACTTGAGGTCAAGTGGGCCACCCGCAGGCCACAGAGCTGATACAATGTCTTCGCTCGGTCCTTGACGATTTTGTCTGCATTGCCGGCTTCAGTTTTGGAAAAAATGCAGACAGCCAAACCACCTTCGGCATGCATAGGCTCTGCGTCCTTCAGCTCCCGCAGCTGGATAGCATCCAGCCTGGCCAAACGCTCACGATCCTCCTTTTGCAACTTTGCCAAACGAGTCTCTGCATCCTTGGCTAAGTCCCAGTTGTGACCTACTTACTGACTCCCCAGAACCTCCAAGCACTGACGCGGCATGTCATCTTATTTCTTGCCCTGCCAAGGAACCCATTTCTGCAACTCGCAAACAATCTCCCTCGGAGCAGCACGAACTTTACACGGATGCTTTTGGCTGCCTGTCGAAACTCATTCACGGCAGAAGTCATTCCTTCAGCAATCGCCTGCGTCCATGCGTCCAGGCATAGTCGAATGCCATTAAGTAGCCGTCCAGCGAGAGGAGCTGGAAGGTTCCCTTTGGGGGAGGCGCCGTAGGCGAAGTGGCACGAACAGGGATCGCATCAAAGGTTCCCTCTAGCACAGCCAACTGAGGGAACCACTGACTCGAATAGTTTTGTCAACTTGAAATAAAAATCTAAGCTTAAATCCTGCACAGCGGCGCTTGACGGAGCCCCAACTCGGCAGGATCGTGGCGTGTGTGGTCGGCACGTCAGGGAAATAACATCGAGCGACTGTGCACTCGAAGGAGCTGTCTCTCTTCATGACGCTCTTGTACCTGTCATCGTCGATCTCCTGCACTCCGCCCCTCCCAACCGGCTCCTGATGGCTGAGCTTTGTGAACTCATTGGTCAGGCTCCTGCAGACATTCTGCATAGCGATCGCCTGGGATTGTCGTCGGCGCCGCATGACTCAATTACACATTGTAACACCTCACGAGATGTCCGATAGGCATACAAGGTTCTGTTGGGTGCTCTGCAAGCACAACGGGCAGCGCGCTGGCCGTGGCCTGCTTCTTTGCGCGCCGGGGGCATGGCTAAGACTCAAAGGCCCGAGAACCGTCACCAAGGGTTTCAGCCTAACAGCTTGGCATGGGGCATTGCATCTCTCAGGCTGTGGATTTCTGGAATCACGTTGCAAGTAATGTAAGTAATGGTGCACAAGCGTCAGTTGCAGCGCAGGACCAACAACGTACTCAGAGCACACGAATTTGTCTGAGAACCCTGCGCGACAGCCCGGAAGTCCGAACCTCGGCCGCACATCTCATGGAAAATAATCTCTTTTCCGAACTCAACTCTGGCAGCAAGAATCTCGTCTAGAGCTACGGTAAGCACATACGGAGTGTGTGCAAATGCAGCTTCTCGACTGATGCATTTCCATGGCTTGGCCACACACTCGCCCTCACCCGAAATTCTAATACGTAGGTCAAAGCATGTCATCTCTATGTCCGAACCTCATTCCCGAGTTCGGTGTTACATGATTGACATTTCACAAGCGCTGGAGTCTGCTTAGTAAACACAGCTCCCCATCCAAATTTCATCCTTCTGTTTCCGTTCAATATGGCCCCTTTGCACGAATCACAAACCCCTGCAAGTCCTGACCCCGAATATCTCTTCCAGCTCAGGCAGCAGCAGCAGCGGTGGCAGCAGCAGCTCCACAGCATCTGGAGCAGATGACCTTGGGCTGAAGGCTTTAATTGGGAAGTCTGTTCTGCAGGCTTTAGTTAGTACCACACTGTGTCTGACCTGGAAAGAGGCCCCAGTCTGGCTGCGACAATGTGCTGCAGAGAAACGAAAGTGTGGCAGGCCAAGCTTCTGGAAAGAACTGAGCACTCAGACTCAGGCAGGATCTTATCAGCATCGCACACGCAGCCCCTGCGAGCAGCGCAAGACCTCAACGCAGACCCTTCCCTCGCTCACTCTCCGTGTGTCCGTCATGCTTCAGTCCTAAGTCCTAAGTCACAACACCTATTTTTTGCACGAGCCGTGAATCGACCCGACTGAGCACCGCAACCTGCCAGGCGCAGCGACCAGTGCCTCCTCGAGTATCTCTAGCTGCAGTCTAGAAGGAGCTGTGTCAAGTCGACGAAAACTATGACCTATGTATATTATACTTGCACATATATGTAAGGATATAATTCGACACCCTTCGAGTTTGCAGTGCACTATGCAAGGACGCCGTTTCAACCAGGAGCGTGAAATCCTGAAATGGACAAGCGCTAAAACTCCGACCCGACTACAATACTTCAGGATGACCGGTGCCAAGCTAAACTTTGAGAACCTTGAAACCGAGAGAAATACCTGAAGTATGCAAACTCTGCAATGCTCATTATGGTCTGTCCGTTTTTTGACTCCTCAGAACGGACTAGACTTCTCAAGGAAATAGACGCAACAGATCTCAATCTCACATAGACCCTGTCGCGAGAACCCTTCTACACTCAACAATCTGAAATCGATGGCACGTCCACGATACATCATGATTTCGCGATTGCATACGGCTGAGCGGTAAAGGCTTGTCACCGGCTCATCCCTATGGAAGCCTGCTTTAAGAGCAGGTCACCATAGGGATGCCCCGAGCCGGCCATCCCTATGCTGACCTGCTTTTGGCCTAGGGTTGAGTTTTGTTGCTCATCCCTATGGCCGTGCGGGCTGCAATCTTGGGAAACGCCCATTCCTAGGGATGGCCGGCTCGGGGCATCCCTATGGCAACCTGCTTTTAAAGCAGCCTTCCATAGGGATGAGAATTTCTCATCACACTTTTTGACGAATTCCAGATTACGTTAGGAGACATACCTCGGCTTAAGGTTTCGAACTATGCAAGCACGGCAGCAGATTATCGTAATATGGATATTCCCCATCTTGGGGGCTGCGAAGACGAAAAGAAACACTGTCAATAATTTAGGAACCCCGGATTTCTGTATCAGTCATTGCCTTTGCCAGCTAATCAAAATTATCAGCTCCGTGACGGGTGGGGAAATAGGCGCCAGGCAAGACCTCCGAGAGCACAAGAAGCTTGCATGCATACGGTAAAACAAGTGAGTGTACAGAAACTCGATCCGGGCGACCTAATTGGTTATTCGATGTTCACGAGTACAAGTGTGAACATTTTGCGGCCAATTAATATCACCCGAGTTGTCGAATCCATGTATACAACATGGCTTACTTAATCAATAGGAGTTGTTACTTGTAGTTCGCTTTATAATGATCCTGTCATGACTAAATCCGCATGCGCATAGAGAAAGACTATGTTAGGCCTGTTAGGCATTACGCCTGTGCACGCCTCCACCGCGCACTTCTTCTGCTACACGAAACTAGTGAAGTATCCGTTTGCGCATGCCCGATGGTTTAACCATTTAACCTTGAGCACGCAACTCGCACGGACCCCTGGAGGATAAAGCATGCCGTGCCTTTAATGGAATAGACCGTAATCTCAACTACATCGACCGGGGAAGGACGAGCTGGTGGAGTCAGGCAATGATAATAGGACCCAACACCCGAGGCGAAGGACGAGCCTCTACTTCCCAGCGATGGAAAGAGCAGCCGGCGGGGCCTGTCAGGAAGCAGTCTAGGTTCGCTCAACCGTAGGCGAGCTGTTTCCCCCCCCCAATTTATCATCTCTGCAATGGAGAAGCAACAGACTGCAGAATCCCCACATCCAAGAGAACGAGAAACTGGTGGTGAAGCACTCAGAAGGAACTCTGCTTCGATCGTGCAGCCATGAAATACAGGTGTGAATGACAAGAAGCCTGTGCTGAGGATCTGGCACGCACGGCAAAAGCCAAGCTGGGCTCCGGCCTGTGCGAGGCTGCACTCGCTCTGCACTCATGGATCAAGGAAAGCTGACCAAGACAACTAGCTCCGCAGGAAGACAGTCTGTTCACGGGCTGGGATGCGGTCAATGCCTTTAGCTGGAACCAGCCGCTGTGGCGCTGCCGCGGTTGGCCGCCTGCTTTTTGTGGAAGTTTTGTGGTGATTACAGATTATTATGACCATCGAACAGCACCTGCACAGGGATTTCGGGTTTGGGCTTCGGGCTAAGGTTTAGGGTTTAGGGTTTAGGGTTCAGGGCTTAGGGTTTAGGGTTTACGATCCCTTAGCCCGAGCCGGGCGACCCACTACGCTTCAACCGGGCGACCCACTACGCCCGAACCGGGCGACCCCCCTACGCCCGAACCGGGCGACCCCCGGGCGACCCCCCTACGCCCGAACCGGGCGACCCCCCTAGCCCGAACCGGGCGACCCCCCTACGCCTATAGGGCTTAGAGCTTTGGATTACGGCTGCAGAACTACCTGCTGATAGGGCTTCGGGTTTAGGGGCCTTAGGGTGTAAATCACGAATAAGATATCTAAGGATTTGGGGAAAGATGCCCTAAGCCTATGATCGAAACAATGCTAGGATCGAAGCCTACATGTTTCTGATCCAAGCTATCGCTCAAAGGAATAACCCCAACCTTCGATCTTGACTACATGCGCTAGCAGGCTTTCCTTCACTTGCTGTTGCTGTCTACACTACCAGGGTGGCAAGCAGACATGGTAGATTTGACAAAGCGAAGATATGATCAACGATCTAAACAGTTGGAAACAAAACAGTATCTATATTATAAGGTACTATGCCCTATTATGTTGTTATTAATGTTATATTATGCCTATATTCACTTATATTAGTATAGCTTGTTTAAAATCTTTATAAGTAATACTAATACCTGATATACTCATGATGATCAACTTATTGCCATTATATTTCTTATCTAAAGCAATAGTTCATAAGTAAAATCAACAGGAATTGGTTTTACGCTTAACCGGGAAACTAGTTACGGAAATGGTTTCCCGCTTAAGCGTGAAACCAATTCCTGTTGATTTTTACTTATAAACCTTGAACCTCAGATCTTTGGTTTGCAATTGACAAATGTAGCAACTCTTTTTATTCTAAACCTAATATTTCAAGCTTAAATAAGGTTTAAAAGGAATTAAACAAGGAATTGGTTTTACGCTTTAGCGGGAAACCAAATCCATAAGTGGTTTCCCGCTTAAGCGTAAAACCACTTCTTGTTGGTTTTAACTATGAGTTAGTTATAAAACTCTTGTAAATCAGAACTACAATTACAGTAGCAATAATTATCAACAGAACTATTACTGTTGGCTTAACGCCTTATGAGTGGAACTCAGCACGGTTACAAGTTTCCCACTGAAGCACGACTCCAATTCCATTTGTATTTAGCTTTTTACCTGAAGCGATCCGAAAGTGAAAACCTAGGTATTCTACTACAGAATTTTAAACGATACGCGAATAAAATGCCTCAGCAATCTCCGCCAAGTCGGCTGCGCAGCTCGCCGCAGATGCAGTGGCGAAGGACGGGGGTTTTGGGCTTCGGGTAGTTTCGCGGGTTTAGGGTGCAGGGTGTAGAGCTGTTGTTGGGGCTTCGCGGTTTATGCCTTTGTACCCTAAACCCGAAGCCCTTAACCGTCTAAACCCCTTTAGCCTGGCCCGCCTTTATGAGAATAGGCCCTGGGAGCCCTATCGTTGGGGAATTCCCCTCCCTGAAGCCCCCCTCAACCCTAAGCCCCTAGACCGCCGAACCCTAAACCCTAAACTAGTTCCAATGGCCGATACATGCAACCACCGCTGCCAGAAGCTTCGATAGAACAGTCGAAAGGGCGATTGAGAAGCTTTCTTTTGTATAAGCTCCTATATAGGAAGATCATAACATCAACAAGTAGATATCTAAGTAGTGGAACCACTGATATGATGGAAGTCAATGGAACCCGCAACCAAAGTCCAAAGTTGCAAGCATCCTGAGCCGGGGTGCCGCGATGACCACGTCGAACAGCACGAGCACAGGGATTTAGGGTTTGGGCTTCGGGCTTAGGGACGCATTCACGGAAGGATTCGGGTGGGCTTGGGGTCAAAAAAGGGCTGTTCGCTTAAACTTACAAGGGGACACGCACGATCCCTTAGCCCGAACCGGGCGACCCACTACGCCCGAACCGGGCGACGCACTACTACGCCCGAACCGGGCGACCTACGCCCGAACCGGGCGACCCCCACTAGCCCGAACCGGGCGACCCCCCTACGCCTATGGGGCTTAGTAGGGCTTTGGGTTTAGGGGCCTTAGGGTTTGAATCGCGAATAAGATATCTAAAGATTTGGGGAAAAATGCCCTAAGCCTATGACGACCCCGATAAACCCGGCAACCGACGCCCTATGTTCCTTACCCAAACATACCTCCCAACCCATCCATAACTTATTAAATTCTAACTTTATCCCAGCCAACCTATGTTTATCAGCTTATAAATGATCCAAAAAATCGATTCGTAAAGAGTGCTCCCTTTAAAAGGGCATAAGGGTAGCACTCGGCCACCAAGTTTACACACATACATACATGCATACATACATACATACATACATACATACACATCAAGGCAGGCATCGTCGCATATTCTATCCTATCTTCTATCTATCTATCTATCTATCTATCCATCTATCCATCCATCTATCTATATAGGCACATATGCTGCAGGTTTGAAGGCTTCAGGCCCGATTCTTCCCATGCACTCCGACGGAGGACCTTCCGTGCGAAGGTGGAGGTAGCCGCGCGTGGAGGAGGCTCGGAAGTCCTGCAGTTGGGCCTCGAACTCCTGGATTTTCTGCTCAAGCCTGGGAGTAGATCGGGTGATTTGTGTTTAAAGGCTCTTTGTAGGGGTAGATAGAAATAGTGTTGGGTTGTCTTGGGTCTTGCCAGGGATCTTTCTTTCAAGACAGGGATTTAGGTAAGGCTTCAAGCCTATCTTCTATTGAAGCCTGGGATTAAGATCTTAGCACAAAGGCCCCGCAAAGGAATATGAGGCCAACCAGCAGACCTCGACATAAGATGTCGGGCCGCTGGACTCCGAACTTTCAATCAAAGAGTTTTACCCCTACCATTTGAAGGCTCCTTTTTGCCGGCCGGGGACTTCTTCGCTGTGTCCAGCTGGTCTTTCGCATACTCTATCTCGTACTCCTCGGTTGCGACTGTATATCGTGGGGATGATAGGGTGTAGGTCCTCTGACCGTAAGTAGAAATTCTGTTGCATTCTCGGTTCGCGGCACCAAGAGTCCCTGATTTGCTCCTATGCTTGTTCTAGTGTTGTCCTTTTTTTGTAATTACTTAACCTTTTCAACATGACGATCCCCATCATGATTCTTGTCATTTTTGGTCTTATTGCTCCAAACTGCCAAGTTTGTCATTACATCTACACACACATATATATGTGTATATATACAAACATACATACACATATACAGGTCTCATTCAATCATCACTTTGAGATGACTTCCGGGGCCAGCCGAGATGACTCTGCATTTGAGCTGCTGGAACACATCGTAGCCCGTGCCATGATCATGTTCATTCTGTTCAGTAGGGTTTGTGTTCTAGGGTTGAGGGTTAATGGTTCAGTGGTGTGCCTAAACCCCCAAACCCAACAAACTAAATTCATCAAACGCCTCTCGCGTCTTCGCGATCGACTGGATGAGGTGACTCAGAGAGTCGGCATGATCAACGAGACATCGCATGGCCACCTGAGACATCGGGTTTCTAAGCTGAAAGTCTGTTCGGTGTCACTGGGCGAGCACATGCTGGGTTGGTCAACCTGAACAAGAGCGAACGAGCATCATTCGACCACAGGAGTCACAGCCCCAAAGGATCTGTTCAGCGATCTCCAAGCCACTGGATTACCATACTTGCCATTTCTGCCCCCTAAACCATATAAGCCTCAAACCCCAAAACTGCATTGCCACGTCACCTGGAGGTCACAGCACATCTGCGCCTGGTTCCTCGCCTGAACCGTGATTGACTTAACGGGGAATAGGGGGTTGCAAGGAGTGGAGACACCAGTCTAAACTTTCGTTCCACAACCCTAAGCATACGAAGTGCCCAGAAATTAAATACCTACCTAGTTCCGGAGACTGACACTGGAATGGCTTACAAGTCTGGGGAGACATAACCTGACTATTGGGCACCAGGCCCGGAGGGCTGGATAAAAGCCAGCTGAAACAAGAGCACTCCAGATCTCCTGAGAACTCCTTACCAGAATAGGGTTTGGGACTTCAACCCTGCAACCCCCAAAAGTCTCTCGGCCGAAACTCTTCGATGCAATGCCGAACGATTCTAAAGCTCACACTTTGCACTGAACACTCACCCCTGTCAAGAAATACTCTAATACCCTGCAATGTTTACCCCAAGGCATACAACCATACGGCATTCAACTCCCGCTATAATCTGAAAACTACATCCCTAAACAGTATCCCTAAACCTCAAAACCACCCCTAAGCCTAACCCCCTCAAACACCAGCAGCCCTCAGAACCCGAAGGCCTCCCCCGAAAAGGACCCGAACCAAAAGACCCTTTCTCATTTTAGGGTTTAGGGTTTAGGGTTCAGGTTCAAGACACAAAGCCCTCAATCTTTAGTTAAACTTTCAAAGATAGACTGCTGAAACAAGACAACTCCAAATCCCTGGAGCCTTGCTAGGCCCTAGACCTTAAACCCAAAATTTCAGCCCTGTTCCCTACAACCCAGAGCTTCAACCTTAGGGCAGGCGGCTCTGTAGGCGGCCACGAGCTCTAGAAGGACCTCGACCTGCATCTGGCATTTGCCAGAGGGAGACGTGGGTTTTGGGTTCAGGGCTTGGGGTTAGCATCTGGAGTGTTTGCCCCCCTCCTGTTGGAGTTCTATCAGGGTTCCATCCGAGCTCTGGGCCTTTTTAGGGCCTTTAGGGCCTTGAGGAGCTTAGGGAATTTGGGTCTAAGAGCCACTGGGACTATCAAGGCTGCTGTGGCCTTGGGACCCTAGTGTTTCCTTTTTGAGGGACTGCTGGTTCTCCCCAAAAAAAGTTCCACACACTAGCTATCACTAGTTTTCAGCCAACCACTACCATTCCGAACTCCCATCCCAAAAGATTCTTCCCACCCCAATACAGAAAGCCCCAAAGCCGTACATAGATGCAGATGGCAAGACTTCAAAAGTCGGCGGACACCATTCTGTGCGACTTGTGAAACGCAAATAAAAGCCGTTCCGCAGGAACCCCATAAAACCCTGTAACAACCCCAAAGCGCACGCCATATCACCCACATACACACTCGAGATACCCTTTAACGCATCCTACCAACAAACATCGTATCTTTACGGAAACTCTTACCCATTGCAAGTTCGCCACCTTGGGCTTGTAACCCGGAAGTGCGGCTTCGCGCTCCTGCTCCTTGTCGTGGCCTTTGTTCAACTGCAGACACTGCGGGTGTTGTCCGATTTCTTGTGGGTTACGGTTTCTGACTGCTTAGGATTTGTGACCGTTTAGGGTTCAGACGGTTTATGGTTCATGGTGGTGAGGAGTTATGATGACTGAGGGTCTGTGTGTGTGTGTGTGTTCACTTGAACGCTCTAGGCGAGGCCTGTTCACGGCGGTGTGATGGATTTTTTGCTAGGACGGAGGCGTTAAAATGGTTCAGGGTTTAAAACTTTGGCATATTTGATGTTGTAGGGCTGGGGCTTTGTTTACCTTCTTGAGTTTGCAGGTTCCATGTCCTGAGTCGCTAAACGATCAACCGTGGATCCCGTGCTGAAGACCGCTCGTACAACTTTGTCGCGTGTTGGACTTTTTCGACGCTGGCATATAGACACGCTTGAACTTAAGCTTAAAGGCTAATTATGCCACAAGCCTCAACGCACGGGGGACGCACGGGGAAAGTCCTTCTCGCAAAAGTCCGTAGGGGTCGTATACAAGTCAAGTGGCTGTTGTACATCTCGGCAGTGAAAAGCCCACGATCCCCGCTAAAAACCTTCTTCGTCTTTCGCTCCTCCTGCTGAAAGACTCCACAATTGCTCGAAGGCAGACTCTAACGATATGATAGGGTTTAGGATTCAACTAGGATCTAGGGCTGCCCAACTGTAAATGGTAGCGGTCCATCAAGCGGTCATTAACTCACGCAAGGGATACAGGCTCTCTTGGTTTGTGGTGACGGAGCAGCAGCCTCTGACCACTCCGAAACGCTCAAGTCTGCAAGAAGCATCATGATTTTCACCAATGAGTCTGTGCTATTCACGCAGTTTTTTTTTTGGGGGGGGTTCTGTTGCATACTACACGATCCAGCCGATGGGATGCCAAGCTGTCCCAAGCACGATCTCCTCTCATGCCCCTGGCGTGCTGGCTTTCTAGCTCTCAAAAATGTTTCGCAGCCCAAACCCCCGAAATGATGCTTGGGAGAGTGACCTGCCAACCAAAGCCCAGATGGCTCCGTCCCTTAAGGCCAAAACGCCCACCAGAAGGCTGCGTTTGCCGGTCCTTTGAATTGCGATGGTCCTCGAACTGCTTCTGCAAGCGATCCAGGTTCTCCTGCACGTCTGCCAAGGCACGTCAATTCGTCTTAATAACTGAACCGACAAAGAAAACCTAGTGAGTAAATGCTTTTCTTAGGCTATAGTAGGGTCCCTGAGAACAGTACTGTTCGCCCGGTACCTCAGTTTCTACATGTAGTGTAAACCCTCCTAGTTACAAGAAGTCAGGCTTCCGCAACACAACGATTGAATTCCCAAAGCCCTGTTCAACGTATTAAGGCCCCCATATTCAATCCCGACATAGACCCCCTCAAAGAACCCTATTCGCGCCAAGAAGGGATTACCAAGTTTATCTAGAATCCAGGCTTCGGGTTCAACGCGTCTTCCTTCTGCGTCTTTTCCGCGTTGAAAGAGGTGGCCGAGGTGGCAGCAGGTGGGCGAGTCCGTCCAAGGATGCGCGTTCGTATGCGTGCCAGTGAGGGTTAATTGCACGACGGTTGGGGGGGCGGTCCAGGGCGGTTCATGGAGGCCACAGGAGGGAGGGCGCTGTGGGAAAGAATGGCCATTGTCTGGGGCGCGATCGTCTGCTGGCGCAGGGCTGAACCCTGAATCGTCAATGACTCTATACACTATAACTATAGCCACATCGGGGCATGGCACGCTCGTAAAGGGAAGACTCAACAAAAAGGTGAGACAGATCCTAACTTGCAAAAGACCCCTTCAGCAATTTCGGCATCTGATCATCCGTAAATCAGGGTTCTGGCTATGGGGGGATCCAGGAATTTGAGAGCCTGGCCTGTCCTGAGCGAAAACCACATGCGAGGATGCTGTGAGCCGATGCGCAAACTTGAAAGACTCCAGTATGAAGGGTCCTGGGATACAGTTCCAGAGTTTGGGTCAAGGGGCAGAAGTGTGGTGCCTTCCGTCCTGTCGACGATGCTGCTGCGGGCTTCGAGTTCGGAACTTAACATGCATGTATTCAATTTTGGACTGAATTGAATGGAAGCACTGACTGTGCCAAGCCAACACGTTGGTCAAAGGTTCCGGTTTCAGAATCTGTGGACTTCGTTTTGCCTACCACGCTAGCGCAGCAGCTGCAGCATGGCGGCGATGGCCTCGTTGGTCACGTAACGCTCTTTGACACTATACTCTGCCCCAGATCTCTACGTGTTCACTCGAGTTTCTGTTTTACTCGAGGCCTCAGTATTGCCAGACGGCCGACATCTGACATTCTCGAGTCTAGCGTACCGATCAGGACGTGTGGCTGTCCACGCCGCCCAGAGCTTCGTGCACCAGCAGCTTGCCTTGGGCAGTGCTGGCGCGTTGATAACCACGGGGTTGAAGGTTTGGAGTTTAGGGAGACCATGGATAAGCATGCAGCTTCAGCACTCACACGCGGTTTCGACGCTCACTCTCGCACAAGGCCGGCAAGGCTCCTCACATGCAGTTTAAGGTTCAGAGTTTAGGGAGGCGATATATGCACAGCATGATGGGGTTTTAACTCTACTCCATCCCTAGGGCAGCGCCAAGTAGCACCGATGAGTCTACATATGCCAGGCACAAACTTCCACCTTCTACTCTACGGGGCTTTGCGACCTTTACTATCGCTGAAGTAGCTGATACGGTTCTCGTAAGAATGAGAAAGCTGTTCGATGCGACCATAACCAGGTGGCTCCGAGCGCCGAGGAGGTGCTTCACAGCAGACAGCAAGAAGTCAGCACTCTGACCTGAAATCTTCAAACGAAGGCTGTGGCAAAAGAGGGTCCCTTGCGCCTGGGTTTTAGGCTGGTTAGGGCCGTGAGGATCCATCTGAAGTCTGAACAGCAGTCACGTTTGACTCGAAGATATCGCTGCACAGCAAATTCCCGCGGCCACGAAGAGTTTGTAAAAAGCTTAGTTCAGCCTTGCGCATGCCGTCTCATCAACCAGATGGATACAGATCCACCCCTAAAGGTTTCACGCTCTTCCTTGCTGCGGACCTTTGGAGCCCTAAAGTTCAGAAAACCTCAAACCTCGCACAGCCAAGCCTCGAACAAATCTGCACAGTCATTGCGACACAAGAAATGATCAAAACCAACAGCGCGCCATCATGCGCATGAGGAGGCCGACGATCATTCGCACAACAAGAACCACTACAATCACAAGTCCTGAAGCAACCTTTAGGACTAGAACCGACCTCACGCAACTTAGTAGCACTAGAAAACGGAAACGGCCTGAGTTTGGCTTCCTCCACTGAGCGGCCTAGAGCTCGCGCATAGTGGGACACGTTGTCGCTCACATGTTTCCTCAGATGGAAGGGGATCCCAAATTGAGGTTCCGGGTCCAAGGCTCGGACAGGGAGAAGGGGGTCTAGGGTTGCTGAACACATGTTCTATCATTTTGTATTTCATACAAACTGTATGCCGTATGCAAACAGTTCCGCGGCCTCGGTCGTCCACGGTGCAACTGAAACTGCAACACAAAAAGAACAACTCACGAGATCCGATGGGAGGCCTCTCCACGGATAGAGGGGTCATTAGAGCCGGAAGTCGGCGCGGAGCTTACCGTATCTGCGAGGAGTTCGGCACTCACTGGACATGCCGTGCCCGAGGTGTGTAGGATTTACTGTAGTGGCTCAGAAAGTTTTTATAGAGTTGAAGACGGTTTTATGCACGTTTTTCTCCTTGGAAGCTTTGGGGTTGGGACGGCACCATTCTGGAAAGCTCATCTTTGATTTTCCGAGAAAAAAGCACTGGCTCTTTAAACAGACGGCCACCCTGCAGGGAGCAAGCGGCAACAGGAAGGCTTAGCAGGCGGAAAGACTCTATCTCGTCCCACGACCTTGCTTCGACTCTTGCTGGTACTGTCTTATTGTTGATTGCCTTGTCCTCCTATCAACCGGATGGTACTAAGAAGAACTAAGCAGTTGCGGCAAACTGTCTGAAACAAAGCACTTCAATCCAAGGACATGAACTCCAAGGAAGCTTCAACAGCCGAAGCTTGGACACCCCGGTGAAAGTGTAGCCGGATGCTTATGATGGGAGATCCTACTCTGCATCGCGGTTACATTAGGGACCTTGCAGTGGGGATGTGTTTGTGCCCGTAGGTTTCCCAGCGCTTTCGACAAGCATCAAGGCATCGTAGGCGTCGATAGATTCTGTGCGGCGTAACACGGACACATTCGCATGCACAAGCACTTGCATGCAACAGCAAAGGTGTCGATTCCGACGAGCCTGGTGCGATTTCGTTCCCAAGTGCATCCTGCAAAGGATCATGCTTCAACAGTTCCAACCATAGCCACTACCCAGAAATCGCGGCATTTCGTGCGCTGCAAGCTCGAGGACAAACAGGGTTGCAGCTTTGCATTTGCCCTTTGAAACTGGTGTCTGTCTGTACCACTATGTTTCTACAAAGGGTTCCACAGAGGTTGCAGGAGGTTCGATAACGGTTTGGGGGTTTGGGGCAAAGGTGGTTCAGGGGTTTAGAACTCGATCTCTGCAGGGCCCACTGCACAACAGCAACACGAGATGCTAACCTCAAGACGACCCGAGTTTGCGGGTAGGGTATGCGCAGCCACTCCAGACAAGGGGCCGCACCTCGAGAGACTTTGCATCCCTCAAACGCTCGAGCGGCAGCATGGTCTTACACTTGCAATTGGGCTTTGGGTTTAGGGTTTAGGGTTCTGCAATAAAGTAAAGTATACTAGAAGGAATGGCACTACCAATTCTTCAGGAGCCCATGCTTCTTCAACCCCTTTCTTGAACTCATGCCGTGCAGCTGAGTGAGAGGGTAATGCCCACTACGGCAACGTGGAAGCCCGCAAGCCCAAGAGCCCCCGGTCCTGTTGCCAAGGAATCTGTTTCCGTAGGGCTGCTTTGTACAGAGGCCGAAGTGCGAAGGTCAGGTTGCACAGAATCCGCCTGAGCAGGCCAATGCGGTTTAGGCCTTACTGCTGAGGGCCTACTAGATTGCCCCAAACCCTATAAACACTAAACCACAGATTGTTGAGGCTTAGTAGGTTTAAGTGCGTCGGGCTTAGTACCTTGGGGTGCTGGGGCATTGGTGTTTGGCTTACCGTTCAGGGTCTAGGGTTTAGGTTTTAGGGTCCAGGGTTTGGGAAAACATTGGTCCGAACTGATGATGTTGGTACAATCTGTGCTGCAACAGCCTGGCCAGAATTTGCCTTTTCCGGACTTGCTCTGCCTACCCCTTATCCCATGTCGAGTATATGGGTCAAGAGCCTCCTAAAGTACCCTGAAAGGTGAACCCGAGCCCAAACCTATACCCGACGAACACTACACTTTTTGTTGAAGGGAGGATGGGCAGTTCCTGATGATGAGTACGTTAATCATGACTTCAAATGCGCAAGTGTTGAAGGGCCGCGGGAAATCCCATATTCAATCCCTCAGGCAATAGTTCCAGCACCCAGAGCCTTTCTAAACCTCAAGCAGTAAACCTCCAATTCTGAACACTGCAGCCTAAAGCAACACCTTATCGATGCTATATGTATATATATATATATACATACATATTTATATCTTGAACTTGACATCACATACCCGCATGACTGAATCCCGACCCTTGAACTCTAGACCCTCAACCACTGACAGTCTCCCAAAGCTTGCAAAAAACACAGCAGCTCCCTGCGACTCTATACTTTACACAGGTGCCTGAATCATTCGAGAAGGACTTTGGGGAAGCATCGAGCGACAAGTGGCTACAACTAGACTGTTACAAACGAAGTACATTCGTGTACATAGAGGGGTACTTAGAACAATAGAACGTATGCATGCATGTTTGTATACACATATATGTATGCATACATACACACGCACATATATATATATATATATATATAAAACTAATTCTAAGTGTGTATGCACACACACACATATATATAAACATGTATACATGCATGTATACATACATGCATACATACATACATACAGACAGACATACAGACATACAGACATACAGACATACATACATACATACATACATACATACATACATACATATTGTGCCATGTTTATATAACGTGTTGTTTACTCATGCTTGCAGGTATGAGGGAGAAGTTGCTTCGTGGCTTGCTTCCTCCAAGATCTGTGCCTCAGATAGTCCGAGTTGTTCAGCTCTAGCGGAAAGTCCTGCCATGCTCGGGTTTAAGGCCTTTGAAGAATAGGGTCCACAGCCCTCAATGGGGATCTCCTCACCACCCCCACTTCAGCCTGCAGCATCTTCTGTCTGGACACTTCGTGGACACCGAATCGCGAAACATGGGGCTCACTTGGTCTCTGACCGAGGCGGTTTAGGGGTTCAGGGTCCAGAGTTTAGGGTTCTCTGTTCAGTGTTTAAGGACCTGAAGCCCTAAAGCCGGGAAGTATATAAATTACCACTCGCCTGGTTCATGAACATATCCGAGCCCATCTCTTAGTCTCCCCCCGCTCCGATGGCTGTTTGTGACAGGTACCTGCTGCAGTCGCCGCTAGAGTCTACATTCAAGTCAGCTCATCTGAAGATCCGCTACAATCTAAGGCTTCGGGGTTCCGTGCGCAGCTCTACTTGTTTGTGAGTGAGTGTGTGTGTGTGTGTGCGCGTGTGTTTGTGTGCGTGTGTGTATATATATACGCACACACACACACACACATATATATATATATATATATACATATGTATATACATACACACACACATATATATATATATACATACATATATACACATACGTACATACACATACATACATATATACATGTATACATATATATATATACATATGTGTGTGTGTGTGTGCGTATGTCGTCAATTATCAAGATGGGCGTCGAATCATTTTGTCTCTGCGAGTGTGTGTGTGTGTGTGCTTGTTTGTCGGCTTCCTTGCCGTCTCAGGCATTCATGCTGGCTGTGGGACCTTGATTGCTCCTCAGTCTCGCAGGCCTAGCGACGGACGCGTAAATCCAAACCAAAGCTGCCACATGATGGTAGGATCCTAGTTTTGTTCGTCCTCCCCAGTATTTGGACTTGATGTACGGCATCCAATTTTCTGAATTGCCATGGTTGCCCCGGACACCGGTGTCCAGGACGTAGAAAGCGCCAGGGCTGTCACCAGTCTTGATTATCGCAGAAGCCATCAACTAGAATTTGGGGATGAGGTTTTCTAGGCGTTAAGTTTGTAGGGCGTGTCCATTTGAGGCTTTGTCGCCAATGCTGCAAATCATGATTATGATTATCATTCTTGATCAATTATGCTTAATGGTATTACCTCTTGTTCCTGTTATTATTCGCATGATGCTCCTTCATTGAACCTATGTGTGGACATTCGCTTTAAGCAGCCACTGTTGATGCAGAGCCGGAGGCTGAATTCTGAGCCCACGGATGTCGCGGTCGGGAAGGCTGCAAGATCCGAACCCGAAACCCTAAAAACCCCAAAGGCCCTAAACCTAGACCCTACAGCTCCAAGTTTAGAGGCCCCAAACTCCCGGACAGGCCCAAACCCCAAACCGTACATGGAGTCGCTTGTGGAAAAACGCAGCAAAGGTAACACAAACGATTTCTGACACCGGTCACCTGCCAGAGCTTCGCAGAAGCCGCCCCGAGCACAGTCATGTAGAAACCCGCAGGAACCGCTGGTCCAAGCAACCGAAAAGCAATAATCAGATCAGCACCAAGGCCTTCAATACGTGTGTTAGCATTAATATAGTAATTAGATTGGGCTCAGAATAGGGTTTTGGGGCCCATTACACTTTAGTTATATGAGGGAACCCGCCGAATGAGATTGGTAATTATCTAGGCCCCTGCACTAGGCTTCCTCTGCTGTGGCTCAACGTGTCGTCACAGGGAGAAGGTGAGAGGCTACCTCTAGCAATTGGGAGTATCCGAAAATCAAGGAAGCCAGTCACGTACAAAAA